CTGCTAGTTTACACCACCATCCGTTAGGTGAAGTGCAGTAAACCTCATCTGCATGTGTAGCAGTATCCAGTCCTCATCTCTTCTATTCTGTGCTCCCCGCTGCAAGCAGAGAAACCGGGGCAGCTGGCAGAGGAGACGCAGAGTGTGCCAGTGGCACCGCTGGTCTCTGTAAATAGTCCATCTGTACCGACCCCTCCCTCTCCTCCTCCCACCCCGCTCGCCACGTCTCCTGCTTCAGCACCCGCTAATTTGGCTCCCAGAATTAGAAATCCATTGAAATAATCTCTTCCACTGTCGTCTCCCACCGTTCCTCCTTCACAGTAAGCCTTTCCCTCGACTGTGCCGGCCATTTAAAATATGACTCAGGACTTGAGGGCTGCTCCGGCCCACTGGAGGGCAAACACATTAGTCTCAGTTGAGACACCGACCAATACGTGGACTGCCTGATATATGTAAAGTCAATTAGCAGGAAGGCTTAGGAGTTTCTGCTCTCCATCCATGTGATATAATAGATGGTCAGAAGAAAAATAAAGGTGGTAGTAAGGAATGGCTATGGAAAAATCTGGATTTTTGTGAAAATATTCTATTATCTGCCATGTAGAAAGTTACAAGAGAGTAGTAATAGGGCCATACTAAGAGTAAAATAAATAAATAAAATTATAAGAATAAAGTCATCAAATTAAGAGAATAAAATACACATGAATAAAGTTGAAATGACACGAGAATAGGGTCATAATTATACCAGAATAAAGTCCTAATATTAAGAGAATAAAGTCATACTAGAATAAAGCCCTAGTATGAGAATAAAGTCATAATAATGTCAGAATAAAGTTATAAAATTATGACAATAAGGTCATAATATTATGACATTCTTGTAAACTGCAGCTATATTATTTTGACTGTATTCTCGTATGACTTTATTCTCTTTATATTATGACTTAATTCTTGTAATTTTGGCTTTATGCTCAGAGTCTGTTAATATTAAAGTTTAAGTCTTGCCACATGTTTTTTAGTTGGCTTTCTGGACTTTGACTGGGTCATTTTAACACATGAATCTACTTGGATCTAAGGCATGTAATTGCAACTCGGTGTTTAGAATAACCGTCCTGCTTGAAGGTGACCCTCCAACCCAATCTCAAATATTTTCAGGCATTTTTTTTTCTTCTTCAAGAATTACAGTTTATTTGGGGAAATCCTTATTCGAATCAACAATTGTCAGGTTTTCCTAATTGTGCTGAAATGATCATCACCTCAGCATGATGTCACCACCACTGTGTGTGGCACTAACCTCAGTGTTGGTTTATAGCGTTTTGCATGCAGACCAAAATGCTACATTTTGGTTTCTCGTAACCACAGGGCCTTCCTCCTCATGTCTGCTGTTTCCCCTCCACGTCTTGTGACAAACTGCAAACAGAGCTTCTTAAGAATTTCTTGGTAACACTTTATTTGAAGGGGGTTGAATAAGACTGTCATGACACTGTCATAAACATGACATAACACCTGTCATGAACATGAATAAGCCTTCATGAATATTTATGACTGTTGTCATAAAGCGTCATTCGGTAAATTATGACACTTTTAATATAAAATTGACATTATTCAAAATGTCTTTGTTATGACAACTTGACATTAACCAAAAAATCATTACTGATATAAATTTGTTATAAAAGTATTGATGATTGCACTTTAAAAATTAGGTAACTTTATGTTATTAAAGGTAAAGTTTAAACAGTAATGATTTCCTGGTTAATGTCAAGTTGTCATAACAAAGACATTTTGAATAATGTCAACTTTGTATTAAAAGTGTCATAATTTACCGAATGACGCTTTATGACAACAGTCATAAATATTCATGAAGGCTTATTCATGTTCATGACAGTGTCATGACAGTCTTATTCAACCCCCTTCAAATAAAGTGTTACCAATTTCTTTCTACAAGTCTTTCAGAATTTTATTTGCAACATATTTTCAAAATATGAGTGCACCGATTGCAGTTTTCTGGCCTACTGCCGATTACAGTTGTTTATAAAGGACGACCTGCTGATTCCGATTTTGGTCGATGCCAATTTTGTTTTGGTCTCAAATGATCGGCTCATTGCCAAAAGTGCAGACATGATCCGATGGGCCGTTCTATCAGTACAACCTTTCTCACAGGAGAGCAGAAGAGGACGCTGACTGATTTTTAGACCTTTGCAGATGTAGATAAGATCGGTGGACTAGATCGGCTTTACATACGAGTGTCAGCCGATTACGATCTCCCAAAATTAAGGAAGTTTTGGGAGACTTCCTTAATTTTCCTTAATTAAGGAAGTCTTAATTAAGGAATTAAGACTTCCTTAATTCCCAAAATTAAGGAAGTCTTAATTTTGGGACTTCCTTAATTCCCAAAATTAAGGCAGATAACCGATTTATCTGCCGGCCGATTTATCGGCCAGCAGATAAATCGGTGCACCCCTATTTCAAAAGCATCTAATTTTGCATTGAAGTCCTATAATCACATTGTAATTTATGATTGTTGAAATGAAATGAAATGAAATGAAATTTTATTCGAACATGATACAAATACAAATAATTGTTGCGTGACAACATATAAAGACGGTCAAGGGTCGGCAGTACTCTTAAAAGACAGTGTATCAGGAATATTATTAGAGCAGACTCTCGATAGTGCTGCTACATAAAAAGATCCACCTTATGCCTGCATTCACAAACAACCCTCAGTTAGTCCCTTGTGCCATGATGAGCCTGTTTTGCCCGCAGTGGTCATCTGTACATGTGCATTTGGCTCTGTCGTGAAGGATTTCCAGGGACAAGTACATTCACCCAGATCATAGCGGCTGATTAAAATAGAAGTGCTGTGTTGTTACGCCAGGGACACACAGATAGCCACACTGGCACACACACAGTGACACACAGACAGTCGTTGCCACTGACACTCACCAACATCTTCTCCCCTGTGCGTGTGTGTGCATGCTGGCTCCTGCAGACTTTTTAATAACCTCTTTTGATTAGAATCCCCCCGCAGCAGCTTATTTAGGGCTGGATTTGGAGCAGGTTTAAAGGCCACTGCCCCCCAGGGGGTGCTCCATTGCACTTCTCTGTATTCAGATATGATGTCCTTGACACCTCTGTATCCTGTTCCCATTTTGCACTATTTTTTGCTGCTACAGCAACAGATGAGTAGCAGAAGTGTGCGTGTGTATTGGGAAAGTGGGCTCCTTAAACCAGCTGTTAACCTGTGTCCCTTCCACCCATCCCCATCCCTCCGTTTTTTACTCCACAGAGTCGCTCCAGGCAAGAGGACCCAGAGCAAGCTCGACTGAAACAGAAAGCTAAGGAGGTAAGCTGCTGCGGAGATCATTACCCTTGACATTTCCCCGACACCAGTGCATAAATTTTTCATGCCTCACTACATATGTAATGCCATTTAAAGTCGGACTTAAAAAAGTTTGAGGAATTATTCGCTCCGATTGATGCCAGTTTGGAAAATGATTCTCTGCACACCAAAGACACCCTCCACCTCCTCCACTCCTTTGCATTTTTTCCATCTGTTAAGCCTCCTTGTTATTGAATTCTGTCTATAGGAGAAATGCATAAACTCTCCATCAGGTTAAAAGCTTTATTTCACCTTTATATAGTCTAATTTTCACAATTATGCACATAATTTCTGCAAATGCAGTTAGTTTTATCTTACCTAACATTTTATTAGTAAAATAAATGAAATAGAATTTATTTTTAAAAATAAAGGTATTATTGAGATCATTTTTGTTCATATATTTTTTGACCTGTACACATTTTAAGTAAAGCAATATTATTTCAGGATATTATGATTAGTACTTTACTTATTTATAACATAATTTTTTAAATTTAAGTTTAAATGTAAATTAAATTCCTAGCGGCTTACCAACTCAATTTATCTCTTGGTAGCATTGCAGACAACATTAGCAAATTGACAAATTCCAGCACGTTAGCAAAGTATAGCGTAGTTGCTGATCTTAGCTAATGTTTGTGTTTGGAACAAAAATGACTGAACTACACAGGAAAAACAGGTCTTTGAATGTGTTGCACAATATTAACACATTGTCATGCACAGCTCCAAGATAGAGGAGATTCAGAGCTGGAATCCATGTGATTATATTGCTTACAACAAAATTAATATAAGACCGATCCAAAAGTGAAGTAAAAATCAAATGAATTAGAAATAAGTTACAGTTGCTGAAAATTAAACTGAAAACCAGTCAACAAGGTAAGTTTTAGGTTTTGTTGCCACTTTTCAGCTTATAGTCTGTATGTTTCATGTAGTGTTTTTTCAGCACAATCTCTTGATATTTCTCTTAATTTCTACTCTACAAATACTCCTGCATCAGGTCAGCTCTTTTGGCAGATCTGCTTACCCAACCATGCAGCATTCGCACAGCATTTACTAAATGCTAAATTGTTTGCAAACAGGTAGACAGTTCTGTAAAACATGCTTGAATGAGGGTTACTAAAATATGCTTCGCATTAACTTTTTTGCTGTAGAAAATAGTACAAAACTTCCCTCTATTCCCACTGGGCCCAGGTATGACACCCACACTGGCGTTGTAAATTAACAACTCTTTCAGACTTCCATTTTTTTTTGATAGGATAGTGATATATCTTCTTTGTTTCAACTACAGGTTTTGAATTGAATGGATTCCCAGTGGAGCTCCAGAAAGTAGACTACACATCTTTTAGCGAATGGTTAATGTTGTTTACGCAAACAAGACGGCTCTTTCACACCACAAGTTTGCTTTTTTGTTTTCCTGGTGTGTTTACACCAGAATATCTTCACTTGGTGTTGTCAGTGCTCGCTAACAAGGATCAAGAGCACTCTGTGGAGCCTCTGTACAGAAATTTGAGTAGGCAGAGGGATGAAACAAGCGAAACTCACCTGTTGTTGTTGATGTAGAAGTTAGGAAGCCAGCATGGTTTCTTCTAAGTAGTTTACTCTTAAAAGGAAAATGCTTTATTCATCCAGGGAAAGTATTTTGGGAATGTATGCACTTTTCTAGCTGACAAACTACTTTGGGCTAGCACATTTCCAGACTTTTTCCACCTGACAGCCTCCCGTTTAGTGTTGGCGTCTCCAACTCTATTTTCCGGCTTTTCTAACGTCCCTTACTGATCGGTTATGAAATGAAATGAAATGAAATGAAATGAAATGAAATGAAATTTTATTCGAACATGATACAAATATAAAATAAAATAGTGCACAGTAACAAGAAGTGCATAAGAAATTATTGAACTTGTGACCTTTGAATGACAAGTTGGCTTCTCTTACTGCACCTCCAGCGCTCTTGTCTTTTTTTCTTCATCTGTCCCAACCATTTCTTTCTAGCAACACTGAGCTCTGCTGCAGTTTTGAACATTCGCACTAGATCTCAGCCTACCCATAAGCCCAACATATGCAAATTAAGTGGTGTAATAGGCATCATGATAGTTGCCCCCGGGGGGGCCCATGTGATCAAAGTGGATCTCCTCCCTGTTAAGTGGCAGTCCGCTCGTCATCTGGATACGGCCAGATTAGAGCGTCGTGAAGAGACGCCGTCTTCGTGTGGCACATTTTCATTTTCGTCAGGAATTTTAAGAAGGTTCATTGGAAATGGTTACTTTATGTAACTACCCCCCAGCCCCCACACCCATTTTACCGACACACACAAACACCCCCCACTCCTCCCTCCTCCTCCAGCATCCCTCACCTCTTTCTGTTTTGCTTAATGGCCGTCGTTTCTCAGCCCCCGCGCCTCTCCGGTTTTCATCACCTGACTGGCTCAAGGGGACAGAGCTGGCTGTTTGTGTCACTGCAGAGTCTGTCGGCAGCTCACACATCTGCGCAAATTTCATCAGGATAATGAGCCCGAGCTGCTCTTCCAGGCGACAGCCAGAGGAGCCAGCCTCTCTGTAAGCCCCTCTGCACAAAGCAGCCACTGCCTCCACCAAACTACCATCAAATCGTACAGACGGAATCACACTGTTATGTTCTTCAACTAAATGTTTGCTTCAGGCATGGGCCAACTTAATATAATACTCAGCATTCAAAAATAAATTGTCGGCAGATTGTATAGAACTTGAAACGTCATTATTTAAAAATATTACTGAAAATATGGTCAAACTATAAATGCACACACAGTGCTCAACCAATCCTTTCTGAAAGGCATATTCACCGCATCATTCTATATGGAATATTGAAATTACAACTCACATTTTCTTAAGAGAGCACCCCTCCTCCTAGAGTCCCTCACTCAGCTCCTTCAGACTAGCGGCAGCAGCAATTAGTAAACATGTGGTGGACCTGCACACTTTTACAACTCAAGGTAACATGGTTACTTGATTGTGATATAAAATGGCTCTGCGTCCTTGTGAAATACATAGCATTGCCCCTTTAACTCTTTCTTTTTTCTTTTCCTTTCCTTAAAGATATACATCCAGTGAAGGCATCAAGGGCAGTTTAGTCTATTCAATTGGCCAGTATTGTTACTGGCATGCCGAATTTTCATGCATGTCAAGTGAAATACAATATCTTAGTAAATATTGTGTACAAGCATTCCTCTGCGATAACAGTATTGCACCCACTTATATATATCAACAAGCTGTAGTATATTCCCAAGTAAAGTGACAATGTACAAAATTTACCAGTTACCAAAAGTTTAGTCCTCCATTTTGTTGTATTAAGATTTTTCACATACGGTGCTGTGAAGGGGTGAACCATGCCTCTCACAGTGTGGACTTCTTTATTAAAACTACCTAAATACTTCCTCTTTTCCACAGAGATGCAGCTACTCCTAAAACAGCACCACTGACAGAGCCACATGCAAAAATTGTTCGCTGTTGCAGCTGCAGATTTGTTAAGCTCTAACTACAGCAGCACTCTTAAGGTAATCACTTTGCTGCGGATCTTTATTGAACTGAGAGCACCAACACACAGCCAGCGTTTCGATGTTTCAAAACTGACAGCTAACGACACAGTTACACCCACCTGGACCACCTGGAGTTGCTTTTATTTGAACAAATCTCATGCAAACACACTGATCAGTTATCACTGCATAGCAGACCAAGGGAAAAGTCAGGAGTTTGGAATATGAAGAACAAACTGAAGATGAGTCTTCAACAATAATGCAAAAACAACTGAAAGTGAATGAGAACAACATGGAACAACCCAGTTTAATGAGACTTTAATCTCTGCAGCAAAAAGTTACCATAGATGCACATTTAAAACTGCATTGATAAATCTGTTAGTAAGTTCCAAAAATGTCACTGTGATTGTTGTCTTAAGATAACCTCCTGTGTTTTGCTGTTTTTTGCAGCTTTACTTGAGCAGTAAGAGTCTCTAAGCTTTTCTTGTTCCATGGATTGGAGTCGGCGAAGACATTTGTTCAAGTACCAGAACCTCCTGAACCAAACTTTGACTCAGCCGGTTCTAACTGAAAAACAGCTATCAGCTTCATATATTACAGAAACCTTTTTTACTATGTACATCTTTTTATCTGTTTAGCAATCCATTACCATTTTAAACCCCCCTATGGCAATTTTAGTTTCTCTAAATATGTTTCCAGTGCCAGTTTAGAAAATTGTCACCTTAAAAGTCCAGATGCCTAATTGCTGCAGTTTTTCCACACAAATCAGTGTTTTATCTTATATTTCTGCACACACCTAATTTAAGTGCACAACAGTTTTTAGTTTTAGACTTATAAAATACTGAACATATTTGTGGCGAAAATGTTAGTGACACCAGAGAGATGGATTAACAAAGTGTAGAATGAAAGCTTAGCATAACCAAGTGACATCCTAATATCTGAAGTGTTGTTTGCTCAACTTTGAGTGAATAAAAGGAGGGTCCGTCAGATCCAGGGAAGACATTTGTCTTGCAGAGATTTTAACAATGAAAAAATTTAACAAAATGCAGACTTCATATGTTGAAAGGTTGTGTGATCTCATGAAATTCAAGTTAATCCCTGTTCAAATAGGGAAAGATCAGAGGATCTGGCTGGCCACGGGGCATTTGCTTAATATGACCACCCGCTTCATGCAAATCCACAATGTGTTCCCTATCAAACTTTAGCAAGAACCTGTAAAGCTGTGCAATCCAATGAAGAGACGCCTTCAATCACTGTTTTGACTGACATTTTGCAACGCTAAACGGTTGTCTTTGTGAATGTATCACTCTTGTACTGCAGACCAAACCCTGAGACTTAAGTAAACTTCAAAAATGGTAAAAGCTATAGCTGCAGAGATTTATTTAGGTTTTTTTTTTCTTTCAGGAGTGGAAAGATTATTTTAGGCCTTAGGTTTGTCCTGGAACATTTTTGTATGTATTTATGT